CCACAGCCACCACTGACTTCAGCATCTCTCCCACCTCTCCCTCCAGAAACATCCTGGCTCTGACCCCTGACACCACCATCCACCTGTCCACCCAGACTGACACCTCTTGGGATTTGGATAGCTCTGTTGCTATGGAACCTATGGTCTGATACATAATATAACCTTTGTAACTGTCATCTGGAGATTCAAAATGTTTATTAAAATGCTTTGCCCCTTTTGTATAGAAACATACATTCTGTTATAGTCATTCCAGTCTAGAAGACCTGCAGCAACTCTACTCCTACCATACTCCCCTCAGTAAAGAGTTGGCATGTGACTGGGCCCTCTGGGGCTCTGCTCCCCTCTGAGTCAATGTGGCCCCCGCCCTACTTGGCAATGCAGATAAAGAGTACAGTTACATTTTCCCTTAAGTTTCTAAGGTAAACGGAGTGTTCTCGATTCTGTGCTACCCCCCACCCCATCCCCCTCCCCCCCCAAAAAAACCTTTCCACTTGCCAAATCTGATACCAAAAGTTACCTAGCTCTGGGAACTATGCTTCCAAAGAAAAGGCATTCGTGGGGCTCTGAACAGAAAGCCTTTATACCCAGCTGTGACTAAAACTCCCAAGTTCTTCTCTTCCCCTAAAGAGCTTCAGTGTAACACAAATACTGTTAAAGGGAGCAAAGTGCTATTAAAATCACTCTTTTAGGGGTGAAGAACAAGAGTCCATCATGTTCCTTCCCCATTCCAACCACCAAACAGTACAGCCCTCAAATCAAAACCTCAGGAGTGAACCTCAAGTCAATCAGCAAGATACTGGCTAATTAACTGAAGTTTAAGTGCTCCAGGTTCCGGTTCCGCTAGAGCTTCCTGGTTAAGAGTAGATTTTTTAAATGTGCAATTCTAATTATCCATGCCCATCTTGTCAACAGCTCTTAATACCTGAAGGAATCACAGCAGGAATGTAAAGTGCCCTTTGAAGACAGGTCAGATCTCAGACCTGTTTTCCTGAACTGTTTTGCTACTATGTAATTCAAACCTCTCTGCATTGTTACTTTCTAATTTTTTCTCTCAGCAGATCTTTTCTTGTTTTGCTGGGGCTGGAGGTGCAATCTATCTCCTCTCAAATGCAGAGTACTTGCTCTACCACTGAGCGGCCCACCTGGCTAGGAAGAAACCTTAAAAGAATTCAGGAATGGTTCTTGGAGACTGGCACACAACTAGCCAAGGGAGCAGGGAAAGGCAGGCATTTAAGAAGGTACTGCCACCATTTCCAGACTACTGAGGCTTTGGGTTGTACTTATTATTTTTAATTTAAGAGTACTCATTTCCAAAAGTGTCTTCCCTCCTCATATTCCTGACACTATCAGAATTGCTGCATTTATGAGCACCTTCCTCTGCAAGGACTTAAGACATTCCGGTTTTCTATCTCCCTGTGAGGCAGCAAAGACTGGAATCACTCCGTTCGCGGAGAGAAGCAGGGTTAAGTGGCTCCCCCAGAGTCTCCAGCGACCAGAGATTAGCAACCAGAACCCTGGCTTCCTGGCTCCACCTTCCTTCCCTCTCTAAGTATGGCTTCTCTGAAGGCTTCTCTTTCAATAAAGGAAGCAGAACGAACCACGTGACTTTCATTCAAGAATGCCTGAGTGTTTTCCTTAGCACCTTAGCTGCCTCTTCCTGCAGGTGGTGGGAGGCACCAGCACAGTGCTGTCTGTCTGCAAAGGCACTACAGGATAGAAGAGGCCAGAGAGCTTCACACTGGCTCCAGGGATCCACCTGCAATTCTGCTTTAGGGCTTCCAAAGGCAGAATTTTCTGAGTAAATCATGACTACCCTGTTCCTTTTGGAAACACCCCTCTTATCTCATAATCTTTTACTTAGGATATGAATGGACAGTCGTCTGATAGAACAAAATTTAAATACAGATGCTTTCCACGGGACTTCTAATCAAATCACTTCCTACACACATAGAAACCAATTTTACAATAAAAATCCCACTAGACAGGAAAACCAAACTAATATTTTAGGGACTGTACTAATCAATCTATAGCCCTAATGCAAAAATATGTAATTTCATATGAAGCCGTTTTAAAACACAGTAAGTTAATTCAACAATTTCCAGTCCCAAAACAAGAGAACGATTCTGGCAACTGGTCAGTTTCTAACACACACACAACATCTCTGAGTGACGTTCCCCTACCCTCAAAGAACATGCAGAAAGTATGGCGACGACACACACCACGCACACCACACACGGGGTCTATCAACCTCCTCGTCAGCTCTGTTCCGTAACCAACTACCAAGCATGTAAGCAAGGACCCGAGTTCAAAATTTGCAGGTAAATGGATGGATCTAAAATCTAACAGCCGTTTTTGAGACTTTATGTCTCCATGACATAGAGACAAGCATGCATACTCACATTGAGCGCAATAATTTTGCTTCTGCGGTATTCAGGAGGTCTGCCCTCGAGAAATTTGCAGGTAAATGGATGGATCTAAAATCTAACAGCCGTTTTTGAGACTTTATGTCTCCATGACATAGACAAGCATGCATACTCACATTGAGCCCAATTATTCTGCTTCTGCGGTATTAAGGAGGTCTGCCCATGAGGAACACAGGGGCCCTGGGTGGTCTCACTGCTAGGAGCCAGGGCAGAGCACGACCACCAGAAAGTACATTCTGTACCTCATTTTCAAAGTCATGCATTTAGTCTGACTTCCACAAACCACTCTCTCAAAGCAAGTTTATCTACTGAGAATTTTTCATCTGTGCATACCACAAATTTCTACCTGGATGTGAGCTACGCAAAAGTAGGTGTCCATCCTGATGGTCAGAATGTTTCATTTCTGGCCCCATACACCCCAAGAACCCAGCTCTGCTGGTCAGGTACCTCCAGCATTCTGTTGCTGCTCTCTGTTCCAAGTCAATTTGCTAGCAATTCAATTTGGCATCTATACCTCCCTTTTATCAGGTGGTTTTGGCACAATGGATCATGTAGTTATCTATTTTTCCTTTAAAACACCTTTTCCTTTTTAGAAAGGAGTTTAGCCTGATAGTCACAAACACAGTGACCACAACATCCTCTTTCTTATCTGCTCATATGAAGTATTGTTTGGATTTCACATCTGTGAATCCAGCAGGCTGACAGGAATTTTATCCTGGTGGGAAACCTTAAACACTCTAGCAGAACCAGGTGTCTAAACAAACTTAAGCATTCTTACTGATCTGCAAATGGCACCACTGCCCACGAATCCTTTTTCTGAATGTAGTAACTTTACCATAGCCATAAGGTGTGGATGGGGTGTGTGTGTGGGGGGTCCCAAAGTGGAAGATCACCGATCCCACTTCTACCTCAACCCTTCAGGTTCACCTACCCCCTCCACCAGGGGCAGGGAAGGTGGAGAGAGAAGAATGAATGAATGAATGAATGAATGAATGAACGAACGAACGAACATGTGTGAGAGAGAATTTTCCCCATTCAGTTACATTCCTGCGCTGGATATGGTCTACGGCTTAGCTAGCCTCAGACTACCAGGCACTCCACCAACTTTGTACTGGGTAAATAACAAAGTGACCTTGAGCTCAGAGACTCACCGCGGAGACATATTCTGACAGATTCCAATTGATTTAAATGATGATACTAAAATGCCATACTCTAATAACTCATGGACTTTTCATCCTGTATTCCAGTTTTAATTAAAAAAGGAAATAACTTTTCCTCTATTATCCAAGAAAAACAGGGTATTCACCCCATAACTATGATTCTGAATTGCATGAACTAGCAGCCCATACTATAGAACAAGTGGGATTCAGATAGCATTAAACTGGTCTGCTTACTTTAAGAACAAAAAGTATACAAGTCCCTGTGCCATGAAGATCATTCATCATCTTACAACCCTCAGACTGTTTATGTGAGGCCAGCACCTAAACTCCAGACACCACTACTATGTGGTTCCCAGGCTGTCCTGCCAGCAACCCCATATAGAAAACATCTGAGCACTCCAGCCCATCCCCTGTGCCTCCAGCTCATGCCCCAGTCAGTCTGAGATGGACAGAAGACTCCACCAGGTGCACAGCAAGCCCATCTCCGAACTCATGGATATTTGATGAGCTGAGAGAACAGTGCTCCGCACCCTCTCACCCTTGAAACAAGACCTGCGCTTTCATCTTTCATCTGTTTCTTTTCAATCCCAGATTCTGAAACCTGGCTGAGAGTTAACAAGCACTGGTCCCCTCCCCACCCAGCCCACAACTACCTTCTGTGGCTCTGGAATTCTCAAACTTCCCCAGGATCTGTCACCTAGTATCTCAATCAACAGTTCCCTTCAATCAGCAGCTCCAGCACAACTGGGGACTTACTTGGGACACCATTCTAGGTCAGTACCAGAAATCCTGGGGATTTCCCTACCCTATGCCCAGATAGGAAGTCCTCCAAGCCAACTCCCAGGTATGCTCTGGGGCAAACACCAGACTGTATAAGCCACACTACCCTACCATTTTACTCCTTTGAACTATGTGAGCTTGAAATGACCATAACTGTTCCATGAGCAGCCACACAAACTCACACCCACTTCCTGAGGGGCTCTTATAAGCTGGGAAGCAGTGACTAGGGCTCAGCCACTCACACAGAAACAACAGCTGGTGCCATCAGCTACTTAGCAGCCCTCAACTGTGCAGATCTAGGCACACCTTGCCTCTGGGGCGGCCCATCTGTAGAACTTCTATTGTGCCAACAAATGGGAAGAGCAGGGCAGACCACTAGGAAGTGGAGAAGTACAGACAGAAAACAAGGTCAAAGTCTCCCTCCCACGGGGGAAGGTGTCAACTCTACTCAAAGGCCATGTGAATGTTCCCGACAAGCTCTTTGGGGAAAGAGGATGACATAGCAGCCAAGAGGGGCAAGTCCCACCCAGCAAGTTGGCATTTAGGCCAAGGAGCCACTAGGGAAGAAGACTGAAATCCAAAGCCACCCACTGCCCCACCTCCCCCATCCCCAAGGCTCAAGGTCAAAGGACTTCACCTTTCACGACTGTGGCCTCCTTCAAGTGATGAGACAAGAAGTCGATGCTAGCGTAGGTGCTGGCGGAGGGTAAGGTGCCAGGGCCTGGGCCCCCACACACCGCGCTAGTACCATTGCCTCCAACGGTGCTGAGGAGCCCCCCAAGGCTACGGGTCCGGCCCCAGGAGCTCTTGTCTCCTGGCTGTGGATGCTGCGTCTGAGGCTGGGACAACAGCCCTTGCTCATCTCTCACATCAATGGCGATATAGTTGAGGCCGTTCTGGAAGCCTGCGGAGGTCTCTCTGCGCATGGGAGAACTACTGCCCCCAGGACAGCCAACCAAACCTCCAGGCTGACCTGGGCTCCAGGGCCTAGCCTGTGGTGTAGGGGGCACGGCCAGTGAATGTGGTCCCTGTGCCGGGGATGTGGGTTGCTCATCACCTCCTGCAAGGCCCCCTCCCAGGAGACTGCTGCTGTTGCCCTCACTGCTTTTCCTGAGAGAGACGTTTTCCACAGAGGCCGAGTTGTGACGCTTGGAGTTGTGAGCAAAGGACGGGGACACCGGGGTGACCATGGTGGTCGAAGAAAAGGTCTCAGAGCTATGGCGTCGACGTCCACCTTGTGGGTCTGCACGGATGACCTTGGCCCCCCGGTGGGGGTCAGGGGGCTGGGTGGCCTGCAGGAAGGCCTCCACCCCAGACACCTGGTCCATGAGACTCAGTCTCTTCAGGCCCGATGTGGGGCTGGTTACTCTGGTACCCTCTGGCTTTGGGGGTGCTGCAATCGGTTGTGGTGGGGTTGCAGCCACACCAAATGCCATCTCTGTATAGTCACCATTATCCCCAGGCTCAGAGGAGGTTGAGGCAGCGCTGGGGCCCTGGGAGGTGGCAGCAGCTGATGCTGGAGGCAGGCGATACAGCTCTCCTGGGGCAGGTGGCAGAGGCTGCTTCAGGGAGGATGGGGAGGCCGAAGGACGTGGGGGCAGAGGTGGGTATGGGGAAGAGGCCTCTGGGGAGAGGAGGCCATCCAGAGAGCCGGCTTGTTCCCCACTGTGGGTACCAGGTTTGGGGGACTTAGGAGAGCTGAAATCGAGGTTCATATAGTCAGAGAGTGGGGAGCGCTGCCGACTGTCGCTGCTGGTGCCCGGGGTGCCTGAGCCCAAAGAGGAGGCAGGACTGCTGGCAGATAGCAAGGAAGAGGATGAGGCAGCCGAGGCCAGCAGTGGGGGGGCAGGCGGGGACAGATGAGCACCTGCCTCGCTAAAGTCAATGTTGATGTACTCGCCAGGGCTCTTGGGCTCTGCAGGCACAGGGTACTCATGCATGCTGGGAAGGGTCTGAAGCCCCTCTAGTGACAGACGAGTGGGCCGTACTGCTCGGCAGCGCTGGCTCAGGAAGCCCTCAGGGCGGCCACTGCAGCCACTCGGCCTCATGGGAGAAGGCACTGCTGAGTGATGAGGCTGGGTATGGCCACCTCCACCTGCCCCAAAGGTGCCAGGCAATTGGGAGGTCCCTGGGGTGGCCTCGGACTCCTGCCTTTCCTCCTCCAAAATCCGCCCCACAGGGGAGCTCATGAGCACATACTGGTCGCTGTCCCCGCTGCAGGGGTACGGGGCCTTATAAGAGCGGGGCAAAGAGCCATAGCAGTAACCAGGGACGCCTTTGAGGCCCTCCCCGCCTCCCTGCAAAGCTGCTGAGAAGAAGTCAGGAGGGGTGCCGGCGGTGCCCGCCTCACTGGGGGACATGTTGAGGTAGTCCCCGTTGGGCAGCAGCTTTGGGTCAGCGCTCTCCATGGACAGCTTGGAACCACACCACATGCGCATGTACCCGCTGTCCTCGGGGGAGCTCTCTGCTGGGGAGCTGGCCTTGTAGCTGCCTCCATTCACTGGGAAGGTTCTGCCCACCACAGAAGGGGGAGCTGGAACCGCTGCTCCAGAGGGGGGCAAGGCCGCTGCTGCAGGCCTGGGCTGCAGTATCTGCTTGGGGGCAGACACGCTGGTGGGGCTCATGGGCATGTAGTCATCGCTCTTGCAGCTACCGGGGCCACCACTCATGAGGGCCGCCCCAGGGGTCATGGGCATGTAACCATCATCAGTCCCCAGGTTACTGCTGGAGCTCTTTTGAGAGCCTATCTCAATGTCCCCATAGTCCTCGGGATAAGGGTGGTAGGCCACTTTGGGGGAGGACGCAGGGAAAGATGGGCAGAGGCGGCCTGAGCTGCCTGAAAACGTCGCCCGCATGAGGGTGTACTCATCCAGGGAGGCAGAGGAGGGTTGGGGTACTGGCCGCTGCCGGGCAGGCGTGGTCAGGGAGTAAGTCCTCTTCCTTAGCCCTCGGTCCAAGTCCTGAGCTCCATCCCCAGAGACCCTACGGTAGGGGCGACCACAGTGGCTCAGGGGCCTATCCATGGTCATGTACCCGTAGAGCTCGGCCCCGCTGCCGTCCCTGGCTGGCGGGGTCTCCGCGATGGACTCGGGTGTGTTGCTCCGGTGGCTGCAGAAGGCTCTCAGGTCGCCAGGGCTTGAGCCGTACTCGTCCAGGGACATGAAGCCTGGGTCACTGGGGGAGCCCGAGGCAGAGGCGCTGCCGCTGGAGGGGCGCTGGCCAGGGGGGTGGTGCAACGGGTGTGGCAGGTGCGGGTGGGGACCGGGAGGTAACGGATAGGAGCCCGAGCCGTGCCCACTGCTGGAGGACAGGCTCCCGGGGCTGGTGGCTGCCGGGGGTGAGTGCGCCACCGGCATGGACATGGAACGGCTGTGTTGCAGGGCTCCCCCTGCCGGCGCCAGCGCCACTTTGCTCTGGCGGCCGCCGCAGCCGCCGCTCAGGGTGTGCGAGCGGCTCAGGGGCGCGCGCACCGGCCCGGGACTCAGGGGGCTCCCAGCCACCGACACCGGCCTGCCTGCCGCCGTGCCGGTCCCAGCGGCTGTGCCGCCGTCGCCCTCGCTGGCCGTACGGACCCGGCACGAGTTGCACTTGGCAGCCGGCGGGGTGGCGGCCAGGCTGTCCGTGCGCGAGCGGCGCACCAGGCCCGTCTGGCTAGGGGGCAAGTTGACCAGGTGGTGATGGCGGCGCGCGCCCGGGACGCTGATGGGGTGCGTGGCCGACGACCCCGACGACTGGCTTTTGCTGCGCGGCCGGAATTCGAAGAGCTCCTTCAGCGCCTTCATGGCCTCCAGGATGGTCTCGTGGATGTTCTGCGCCACCACGGAATCGTCGGCTTGCATCCATAGCTCGCCGGGGCCCGTGACGGCCGAGCGGCCCACCTCGATGAAAAAGAAGCTGTCAGAGTGGCCGCAGCGGCGGATGTTCATGAGTTGCAGCGTCACCGACGGCTGCTCGCAGTTGAGCTTCACGAAGCCGATGGTGCGCGCCGACAGGCACAGCCGGTACACGCCCGTCAGGTTCTTGCTCTGGCCCAGGCCCTTGGGCTTCAGGTTCACCTGCCACACCTCACGGTAGGCAGCCGTGGCGGGCGCCACGAGCCCGTAGCTGTCATCGGAGCCGGCGGCGCCCGCAGAGCCGCCTAGGGCGCCCGGCAGGGAGGCGCTGCAGGACCCGCCGGTGGCCCCGCTGGCCGTGTCGCTGGCCGCGCGGCCCTCGCTGACCAGGTCGGTGAGCGCGCGGTACCAGCCCTCCTGCTCCTGCTCGTTCTCCGCCGCGACGGCGAAGTATTCGTCCTTGGTGTAGAGGGCGATCAGATACTTGTGCTTGGCGTCCGCGCGCTTGTTGATGTTCAGGCAGCAGTCGAGGGCGATCACCCGCTTCGGCGCGCCCGCCTTGCTCCTCCACTTCTTCTCGCTCTCGTAGTACTCGAGCCGCGGCGGCTGCGGTGCCGACCCCCCGCCCGCGCCCGCAGTCGCCTCGTCGCCGCCGGCGCCGGGGCCGCGCAACACGAAGAAGCGTTTGTGGCCGTGCTTCTGTTTGCGCAGGTAGCCGCACTTGCGCACGCTGTGGTTGTT